TTTAATGTCACCTCACAGCATTTATAACATTTCTGGTATATTTTTAAATGTTTATATGGTAGTGTACTGTATATTGAAATAAACAGAATAGAGGAAGTCAGCTCTAAAATACATTATTTAGTTATAAATACTGGTCAGAGAGTCCTTCATAAGTCCGAGGCGTTGGTAACCGAGTACATTGCTAAGTGAGGAGAGGTTGTATAATTTTTGGTCAGAATGAAGGTAACATTTGAAACCTTTGATATAAAATCTTCTCTACAATAATCTAATAATACTAAGATAAAGAGTATTACTTTCATTACAGATAGATTTGTCATAAACGGTATCTCTCTGGTTTAAAGATGAGTTCAAACCGCAAGCAAACCCCTCTGAATAAGCCCTCTTCGCTGCTGACACGAGAGGAAAATGATATTATCTTTCGTCTGCTTGGTGCAAGGTGCCAGGTAATGAAACATTATATTTAAGGCTAACATTATATTTAAGGCTGGTCATCAACAAGTTGATGACCGGCTTCCTGAGAGGGGTGTTTTATTTATTTTGTGGCCTAGCAATAAAAATGAAAGCTGCCTAAAAGCCTGAAGGCAATTCCTTGTAAGGCAATTGTAAATATATCTTGTACAGTGGAACCTCAAAAATCTAACTTAATCCGTTCCAGGAGCTAGTTCTAAATTCGAAAAGTCTGAAATTTGAAGCAATATTTCCAATAAGAAATAATGGAAATACAATTAATCCGTTCCAGAAACCCAAAAATATTCACACAAAAAATACATTTTATAGAGATTAATTACAGTTTTACATACAACAAATACTTTAGTTTTTAATTATGTATAGTAATACATATAAAATAACATTTTTACTTACCTTTATTGAAGATTGGTGATGGCATCTGGAAGATAGAGAGGAGGAGAGAGGGAGTTGGGGTTATTGTTTGAAAGGAGAATCCCCCTCCATGAGGACTTCAGGTAAAGCCCTCTCTGGGGTTACTTCCCTTCTCTGTCTTTTAATGCCACTAGGACCAGCTTGAGAGTCACTGGACCCCTGTCTCACAAACTAACTGTCCACAGTCCTCTGGCATTTTCTTCCAAAACAGGCCTGTTTCGTCACAATTAAACACTTGTTCAAGTTTGAATTCTTCACTATGTACCCCTTAAACTCCTGTACAAACTTCTCAGCCGCCCCGTTTGTCTGAACTGGCTGCCTCACCATGTCTTACAACATTGTGTATACCACTACGCTTCTTAAATCTGTCAAACCAGCCTCTGCTGGCCTTAAATTCACTATCAGCACTGGTTCCAGGAGTTTTCTGTACCAGATCGGCATGCAACTTCCTTGCCTTTTCGTAAATAATCGTCTGAAACACTATCACCTGCACTCTCTTTATCTCTTTATCCTGGTGGCCTGGTGGTTAACGCTCTCGCTTCACACGGCGAGGGCCTGGGTTCGATTCCCAGCCAGAGTAGAAACATTGGACGTGTTTCTTTCCACCTGTTGTCTATGTTCCCCATCAGTAAAATGGGTACCTGGGTGTTAGTCGACTGGTGTGGGTCGCATCCTGGGACACTGACCTAAGGAGGCCTGGTCACAGACCGGGCCGCGGGGGCGTTGACCCCCGGAACTCTCTCCAGGGCAAACACCAGCAACAACTTCTTCAACCTCTTCAACTATTTGTGGTCTTTTTTTGGTTAGCATATTAACACCTTTCGCAACATCAGCTTCCTTGATTTGTTCTTTCTTTGCCAAGATAGAACCGATGGTCGACTTGTTTTTCCCATACATCCTGGCAAGCTCAACAAGTCTCACACCACTCTCATACTTCTGTATTATTTCCTTCTTCACATCTATGGTGTTTCTCACTTTCTACCACTAGCAAGTTTCTTTGGGCTCATGGCAGCTTATTTCACAGTCCCACAAGCACTAAACACAACGAAATAATCGTAAAATGCGTGAATGAGAGCGCAGGTTAGTGTTCACTCAAGCACAAACAAAGCTAGACTGCTCATGGCGCCTGCGTGGGGACGCGGACAGAGCGGGCTGGCAGACAGGTCCCGTACCCAGCGGTCCGAAAATAGGGGGCGTTCGATAATAGGGACACAGTTTGTCCGAAAAAATGGTCCTATTTTCGAAACATTTGATATGTGATACGTTCGATTTTTGAGGTTCCACTGTATAATATTATATAGTAGGACCCCGTATCTGCAGGTCCAGTATCCACGGTTTACCATGGCCAGAAAATAACCCTTAATTTTGCTTAGTAATGGCTTATTACAAAAAAAGTAATTTTTTAGATGGTAGTTTACTCATTTTGTAATAAAGAGTTCGAGATAGATATATACACAAAATATTTATCATTTTAATTGCATATAAAATTAACAATCTTTGGTCTAGGGGTATTATAAAATAATCTTCAATATATTAATATCTGATTAAAACCTATTATCTTTGATACATATATATACAAGCTACAATAATAAATTATAATTAACATCCTAAAATAATAAATAATTAATTCACACAAGGTACAACTTTCCTGACACTACTGTGTCATGGTACATATATATATACATGTTAAAATAATAAATTATAAGTAACATCTTTGTACATCTATATATGAATCATACAATAATAAATTTTAACCAACTCATCATGACCCTATAGTGCATCAGGTGTCAATGTCACTGCATTCTTCGTGTCTCACGACACTACCTATCTTAGTATCATGACACCTACAACTCCGTGTCACAAGACACCCTTGTCTCTGTGTAATGACGCTCCTTCTCTACCGTGTCACCTGACACCCTTTTCTCTGTGTCACACAACACTCCTGCTCTACCGTATCACACGATACCCTTATCGCTGCATCATACACGCCTTCTCTACCGTGTCACACAACACCCTTATCCCTTTGTCATAACACTCAGTCTTTGTATTTCCGTTTCTTCGCGGCATCTGACACTTCAACACAAGCTGGGTTACACGACAGTTCACCCTACCACACAGGATACAACTCTCTGACACTACTGTGTCACACTCAGTCATACTACACTGTTTATGGGAGTTTCAGTATTATAACACTCTACTGTGTCACACGACACCCTTGTCTGTGTCATGACGCTCCTTCTCTCCGTGTCAAACGACACTCCTGTCAGTGTTGTGATGCTCCTTCTGTGTCACACGACACCCTTATCTGTGTCACACGACACTCTCTCTACCGTGTCACATGACACCCTTGTCTCTGCATCACACACACCTACTCTGTGTCACACGACACCCTTATCTCTGCGTCACACACACTTGCTCTACTGTGTCACACACTCTTATCTCTGTGATAACACTCTACCCGCATAGCGTCTTTTTTCTTCAGAGGCCAGCTGTCACATGACACTATACAACAGCGTCAGCATGACTTGGCCCGCAGTTGATTAGAGTCAGTGGTGAGTCCGTAGACATCACCTACAATTGTACTCCTTGAGGTAATCTTGTAAATACTCTCTAAGGCCAGCAGATGTACACCATAAGGTGGTCTGGTGAGTACTGTCTACCGCCTCTAAGACCAGTTGATATACACCGTAAGGTGGTCTTCTTCTAAAGCCAGTAGAAGCCAGTAGATATATACCATAAAATGGTCAGACGAATACTCTCTACTGCCAGTAGATGTATACTGTAAGGTGTTCTGGTAAATACTGCTTCTAAGGCCGGCTCAGCAGTCCCCACATTGGGTTTGATGACGTACCCTTGGTACTGCCGGCCGGCAGGTTAACCATTTAACCGCTAGTTTGGCAGGAGGCCGCCACATGGCTTCAAAGTGCAAGAGTACTGATGATGGTAGTTCTAAGCCTGACCAGCTGGGCTGTGGTTTGCACATCACCTTGCGTGTGGCAAACAGTAACAACCTGGTTGATCAGGCTCTGATCCACTCTGGTCAGAGACAGGGCTGCAGGGGCGTTGACCCCTGAAACCCTCTCCAGGTATACTCCAGCTACTATAAGAGAAACCGTGAAGTGCTTCCCATTAGTGAAAAAGTGATAATTCTTCACTTATTGTGTTTAAATTTTCAATTAAACTTTATAATAGGTATGTATATAAAGAAAAACAACATATGTAGGGTTCGCAACTGTCTGTGGTTTCGGTTCCATGGCAGGTCCTTGGTACATATTACCCTGCAGTTACAGGGGTCCTACTCTACTGTCAAGAAAGAATAAAAAGGCACAGTACTGTGTTACACTCATACTGTGAATGTGATTGATCTTTGCTCTTGTTCTTAATAATCTTGTAGATAAGATAACCTGGTCTTCACTGTCAAAAAGTGATCTCTGTAAGAGACTACCTGTACCATATAGTGAAGAGAAGAAGAGAAATATAGATTAACTGAAAAGGAAATAGCATTTACATTAGGTAGATGTGTAATCCTAACAGCTACTCCATTTTTGTAAACAACAGTTTACAGTAAAATATTGAAATTTCTGAAGAATTTGATATTGGTAGTAGCAAAGTGTTAAAAGATATCTGAAAATTGGTAATGATGATAGAAAATTACAGTGGACCCCCGGTTATCGGCCATAATCTGTTCCAGAAGGTCGGCCGATAACCGAAATGGCTGAAAACCAAATTAATATTTCCTATAATAATTAATGGAAATACAATTAATCCGTTCCAAACAAAAATATTCACAAAAAAAAAAAAAAAATTTTAACAATTATGTAAGTATTACATATGTTTATTGAAGGCTAATGCTGGCTTCTGGAAGATAGGGAGGAGGAAAGAGGAAGGGGAATCCCCCTCCATAAAGACTTTAGGTAGCAAAGCCTTCTCTGGGGTTACTTCCCTTCTGTCTTTTAATGCCACTAGGACCAGCTTGAGAGTCACTGGACCCATCTCACAAAATAACTGTCCAGAGTAATCTGTTTGTGGTGTCTCTTTAAGATTTACCTGAGGTGGGACAGGGTTTTGTCACTAAACATGTTGCAGATATGGCTTGTTTCAGCTTTGTCAGGGTTGTGTTTCTCTACAAAAGCTTGTACCCTAGTGCACATTGCACACACACCTTTAATCTCTGAAGAAGGCACTTCCTTCACTCCCTCCTCCCCCTCCTCCTCCTCTGAAGCAAGTTCCTCAGCTGCAGTCTGTTGCTGTTCAAGATGAAGCTCTTGCAGCTTTTCAGTGGTTAGCTCTTCCCTGTGGTCCTCCACCAACTCTTCCACATCCTCGCCACTCACCTCCCACCCCACAGGGTTGGCAGGGTCAGGGTCAGCCTCAAACCCTTCAAAATCCCTTTTTTGGAAACTATCTGGCGACAGTTTTCTCCAAGCAGAGTTCAAAGTCCTGGAAGTCACTCCCTCCCAAGCCTTACCTATAAGGCTTATGCAGTGGAGGATAGTGAAGTGATTCCTCCAGAACTGTCTTAGGGTCAACCGAGTGTCTGATGTCACTTCAGAGCACTTTTGAAACACTGCTTTTGTGTAGAGTTTTTTGAAGTTAGAACTGACTTGCTGGTCCATGGGCTGGAGGAGAGGAGTGGTTTTAGGAGGCAAAAACTTCACTGTGATGAAATTGAAGTCCCTAAACACTTGGTCTTGCAAGTCTGGAGGATGTGCAGGAGCTTTGTCCAGTAACAGGAGGCACTTGAGTGGCAATTTCTTTTCCAGGAGGTATTTTTTTACACTTGGGCCAAACACATCTTTAACCCACTCTTTGAAAATTTGCCTTGTGACCCATGCCTTATGTTTAACTTTCCACATCACACACAATCTATTTTTCATGACACTGTTTTTCTTGAACACTCTGGGATTTTCTGAGTGATACATGAGTAAAGGATTCACTTTGAAATCCCCACTAGCATTACCACACAATAAAAGAGTAAGCCTGTCTTTCATAGGCTTGTGTCCTGGCAGTGCCTTTTCCTCCTGGGTAATGTAGGTCCTGTTTAGCATTTTCTTCCAAAACAGGCCTGTTTCGTCACAATTGAACACTTGTTGGGTTTCGAATCCTTCAGCCTTTACATAGTCCTGGAATTCTTGAACATATTTTTCAGCCACACATTTGTCAGAACTTGCAGCCTCACCATGCCTTACAACACTGTGTATGCCAATACGCTTCGTAAATCTATCAAACCATCCTTTGCTGGCCCTAAATTCACAAACTGCAGCACTTGTTCCAGGCATTTTCTTTGAAAGATCCTCATGCAACTGCCTTTTCTTCTCACAAATAATAGACTCCACAACACTGTCTCCCACTAATTCTTTTTCCTTAATCCACAATAATAATAAGTTTTCCATCTCTTCCATTATTGGTGGCCTTTGTTTAATTAGACAAGTTACTCCTTTTGCTACATTAGCATCTTTGATTTGTTCTTTCTTTGCCATGATGGATGTAATTGTTGATTTATTCTTGCTGTACATCCTGGCAAGTTCCACCACCTTCATACCACTTTCAAACTTTTGCATCACTTCACGCTTAAATTCCACGGTGTTTCTCACTTTCTTTGCCACAAGAACTTTCTTTGGAGCCATGGTTCCTTATTTCACAGTTGCACTGAAAAATAACACAAACTACAATGGGAAATAAGCAAAACATTTGGATGTATCAGCAGAAACTTCCTCAGTCACCGAGAGACAAAGCCAAACTGATGCGCAAGCAGCCTCAGCCGGCAGATGGACGTGTCCCAAATGGCTGATAACCGAGAAATAGCCGATAACCGGGTGCCGAAAAAACAGCCGATAACCGAGTTGGCCAATAACCAAACCGGCCGATAACCGGGGGTCCACTGTACTTTTCTAATATCATAAAAGTACTGAATAACCAAATTGTTCTAATGCTTTGTAAACTATAAAATTCCAACTGAGGAAACTACTTAATGAGCAAATTAATGGCTCAAAATGAGTTAATGCACTCTCATTTAGAATAAATTTTAGATACGGGATTTTTCTTATAGTATGTAATCAGATTTTTTATTTTTATTTTATGTGTTCACAGACACTGAGCACAGCTGTTGTCCAGGTGTTTGGCACTGATGGACCTCATCATAATTCATGGCGCAAGCGGTACTTTGGTATTGCCACCTTCACTAAGGACAATGTGCGAAGATCATATTACATACAGGTTAGTTATATTATTGCTATTAAACTAGGATTTTCAGATCTGCTTTTATAAGAGATTGTGCAATTGTTCTCTACTTGTAGTTTCCCATTAAGTCTTCATGTTCTAAATAACATATTACAAAGCTAAACTTCCTTATTTGAAGCCAATGCATTTTATATGTAGACAAAATATGGCATATATATATTCTGAGGGTGCTCTACTTGCGCTCATGATCCTATTTTCACATTATTTTTTTCAGGTGTATGATATTGTGGTTGCAAAGCGAGTCTTTGAACAGGAGCTGTATAATCAGTTTACTTACTCAGCCTCAATGCCTTTCTTCCACCAGTTTGAAGCAGAAGTAGGTTGTATATTTTAATTGTTCTTCACTCCTTTTTAATTAGTATGTTATAGTATACCTTACTGAGGGAAGAAACCTTTATGAACAAGTCCTGAAACAGAGTGATATATATTTTGTGATTTGTTGAATTGAGAACAAAAGTTGTGTGGCAATCTGAATGTAATACAAAAAATATTCTTAAATCTTTGTAAATAATTTGCAACTTTTTTAATCTTTTTATAGCAGTCTGAATTTATAAATTATTTTATTATTAAAATACATAACTGATATTCATGTCATAGATATGATGATTTATCTTACATAATGTGTAATAAGCAGAATTTCATAATATAGGAACATCATTTGTATATCAGCTTGAAACTTGAAATGATAAGGAAACCACAGACTGATAATTATTGCAACTCAAACATCACTTGTTTAAAATATCCACATTATGTTTCAGTATTACTAACAGTGAGGTTGTGCTAGTGATGCTACTGAGCAAAACATTCATTAACTAATTTAATTAGTGTTATTGCAATAGCAAGTGCATTGTGGCCAAGATGAAACGTTGCACCAGTGATAGTCTTCTTTGTATGTCCTTCATCAAGAATGAAGGCTTTGATGAAACCGATGGAGTCAAATTCTTAATGAACCATGAGAAGATAAGAAACTCAGTGGAAAAACCAAGTAGAGACATTCAGATGGTGTGGGATGGTGAACCATTGGATATTCCTGAGATAGTGCTGCTTGTAACAAAGAGTCTGATCAAGTTTTCCAGAATAGGGACATCTACAGTGCATCGTTCAATTAAAAAAAAGAGAATTCCTATAATAGGGTTGCCACAGCTCCAGATAAATATGAGGCTTGGATTGATCCGAGAGCATTCTTTGTCTTTACCTGATTTACAGAGGGTCAGTATGCGTTATGTAAAATAACGGATTATTATTTATAATCAGCTTCCTGTAGTATTCATCATTTTGTACCTTCCTTACCATATATGTTAAACATTGTAAAGAAGAATAAAAGGGAAAATACTTGTGCCTTGAACAGATCACTACTGTCACAATTCAGAGAGGATACTGTTGATGATGTTTTGGGCTGTCTTGGACTGTAATACTCATGACTTGATTCTGGATGAACCAAAATGCCCTTAAAGGTTTCTTTTTCCTTAAATGTGAAGTATCATATTTTAGATTTAAGTTTTCATATATTGTGCTTAACAATTAAAATACAAGGCAGAGTGCCTCTTGCCTCAAATTCTCATATATATAACTTCAGTAATATGTATGTAATTTATATTTTAGTCAGATTTCAATTTTATGTTGCAATTTTAGGTTTTCAGAATGTTAATTTAAATCAGCAGCAGACATGTGTAGATAAAGTGCAAGGACAAAGATTGACTCATTTAGTTACCTATTTGTATTACCACTTTGAGTTTGCATGGAATGAGCTCTAGTACTTGGTACTGCCTCTTAACTTTTGGCCAACTGAGGTAGCTTTGTCATGTCTTGTTGTGTGTAAGATTTCTTCAGAAGCAGCAGGACAGTCACATGTGGACAAGTTTTTGTATAATGATTTTCCCCATTGAATCATTGTTATGAAGAGCAGTAACATGAGAAAAGTTAGACAATTTATAATTTTGACAATTTTGTTTTATTTTTTGACTTCAGGATCAGATGATTGGGCTAAACTTTGCCGATGAGGGAGAAGCCAATACTTTCAACCAAGCCATCAGTGAGCGACTAGCTGCTAAACAGCGAAAGAAAGAAGGTGTGTAATGGGCATTAATATTATTGATTATTTAAATGACCAGCCTCATATATCACTCATTTAACCCTTCAGCTGTCCAAGCTGAGTGGCCTACGCACTGCTGTGGAGTTTTAGGTCTCACTTGCCCTGGGTTGAAATCCCACCCATTTCCTGGTTTCTTAAGCCCCCCTTCCCCCCCTCCCCACACACAGATCAAATTGAAGGCCCCTTTTGTGTCCACAATTATGAAAAAATAAACAATAATTTTATCATCCAAAATACTAGAGAATCTTTTTATAAAGATAATGGTACTAAAAAGGCAAAATTTGATGTAAGGCTTACAAAATTACACGAGCATGAAGTCAGTGGTAGTCTTTCTGTACTTTCCATTGATTACAAGAAACTGTTCCTTCAACTATTAGAACTATCCTACTAAGAATTTGGGAAATTGGCCAGTTTTATCCTACTTTGTATGTGTTCTGCTATATTGTAAGAGAGCCATCAGTAATTTGAGTAGAGGGAGAGAAGGTAGATAAAAGCCTAAACTCATCCCATGTACCATATCTGCACTTATGTTGTTTCCACTTTGTCTTGTTCCAGTTTGAACTTTTCATATTGTTAGATAATGAAATAAATACTAAATCTCTCTCATAATGCTGTAAAGGTAACATTGAGATTATAAGAAAAATATAGATAAAATAGGTATGTCTTGGAGGGAAAAAGCCATAAGGTAAAATAGGTTGTGTCTTGTAGGGAAGAAGCCATGGATGACCAGCCACTGGATACACTTATTTTGTACCTGCGCAGAATGAACCCTGCCATGCATTAGTTTTTTTTTTTTTTTTTTTTTTTTTTTTTTTTTAACACATCTGTTCCCCACTGAGGCAGGGTGACCCAAATAAAGATGAAACAAAATAATTCTTCATTTTACATTTGGCAGCTTATACAGGAGAAGGGGGTTACTAGCCCCTTGCTCTTGGCATTTTAGTCACCTCTTACGACATGCGTGACTTGCACTCTCGATTTAACAAGCTTCGATTTAGCATACTTTGGAAATACAGGAAAAATCCGCTGGGTCATTTGATTTGGAAACTATGGACAATATTTGTAGTTTACAGGATTGTGCAATATTGTTACGACCATGGCAAAACGATCTCTTCTCTATCGATCACAATCACCATTGATTTACTGGTCACTACCTTTATACCTTTGAAGAGTTTCGAGAGTTTCACTACTCTCGGAGCCCGGCCATGGGCCAGGCTTATCTGGTGCTTGCCTGGTCAACCAGGCTGTTGCTGCTGGAGGTCCGCTGCCCCACATATCCATCACAGCCTGGTTGATATGGCACCTGGCGAAGATACTCGTCCAGTTTCCTCTTGAAGGCTTCTACACTTGTTCGAGCCTTGTTTCTGATATCTTCTGGTAAGATGTTGAATGGTCTGGGACCCCAGATGTACTAGTTCCCATCTCGAATTCAGTTAAATCAACTGATTAATAGGTGGGAGCATCTCTCCATATTTCTTTTCTCATCAGTTGTTCTAGGCTGTACATGCATCCCAGAATAGTTCACTTCTAGGCTATACATGCATCCAAGAATAGTCCACTTCTAGGCTATATATGCATCCCAGGATAGTTCACTTCTAGGCTATACATGCATCCCAGAATAGTCCATTTCTAGGCTATACATGCATCTCAGAATAGTCCACTTCTAGGCTGTACATGCATCCCAGAAGAGTCCACTTCTAGGCTATACATGCATCCCAGAATAGTCCACTTCTGTGAGTGAAGAGTGGATGCCAGGTGTATTGTTCTTGCAGGTCACAAACTGAATATGACCAGGACACATGAGGTACCTGGGGCAGTACAGAATTATACAGTATTTTTTTTTATTTTAACCTTACTCATGCTGGATACAAAGATGTTGAAATTTTCCATATGCTGTACTGTATTTATATTTTGTCTTAGTTTTATGGACTTGTTACATTATTTTTTATGTTGCATACAAACTTCTAATTTGGCAGTTTCCATTTGACTTCAACTCTACGCCTAGCACAGTATAATGAGCCTCATAATTCAAAAAGTGTTTTACTCTGCATTTGCAGGAGTCAAGTTTATTATTGATTTTTATTTGGTACCATAGAGAGAAGACGGCAAAGTGAGCACCAACAGAGACAGCTACAACAGCAGCAACAAGTTAATCAGCAGCAGAAGCAGCAGCAGCAGCAACAGCAGCAGCAGCAGCAGCAGCAGCAGCAGCAGCAGCAGCAGCAGCAGCCTCAGTCATCATTTGTGCCCCCATATGTTCCTCCCTACAAGGACACCAAAAAGAAAAACAATAAAAAGGGAAATAAAAATCGAAACAAGCTCAGGTACAGTTATTTGAAAGGTTTTTCAGCAGTTATCTAAGTAACAGAGAACTAATCAATAAATATTTTGTTTTTGTAAATGATGCGTTTAATTACTTTGATGTTTGAAATTTCTTCTTTCAACAGAGCGGCCGCATCCCACCAAGGCAGGGTGGTGAAAAAGGAAAAATGAAAGTTTCTCCTTTTAAATTTAGTCATATATACAGGAGGAAGGGTCACTAGCCCCTTGGTCCCAGCATTTTAGTAGTATTTTACAACACGCATGGCTCACAAAGGAAGAATTCTGTTCCACTTCCCATGGAGATAAGAGGAAATAAACAAGAACAAGAACTAGTAAGAAAACAGAAGAAAACCCAGAGGGGCATGTGTATATATGTACTTGTCTATACATGTGTAGTGTAACTTTAGTGTAAGTAGAAGTAGCAAGACATGCCTGAAATCCTGCATGTTTATGAGACAGAAAAAAGACACCAGCAATCCTACCATCATGTAAGATAGTTACAGGTGTCCGTTTCATACTCACTTGGCAGAATGGTACCTTCCTAGGTGGTTGCTGTCTACCAGCCTACTACCTATAGTTTGAAATTTGTATATCTCACAAATAACAAATGTATGTAATATATGCCATGTATGTCATAAGAGGTGACTAAAATGCTTGGAGCAAGGGGCTAGTTATCCTTCTGTATAAATTATTAAATGTAAAAAGAAGAACAGCTTTATAAGGTTTTCTTTTTCAAGTCACTCTTCCTCAGTGGGAGACAACAGGTGTTTTGAACAAATTTAATACATTATATGTTGTTTTTATACATTATAATGTTAATATTTCTGCATGTACAGCAAACACGAGATTGGCATGCCAATGGATTTCAAACACATCACTCATGTTGGCTTCAATCCTGACACTGGATTTTCTCAGTTCAATGTGGATGACAAGCTTGAAGGCTTCTTTAACATGGTAAGTGTATTAGTGTATTACATATCCTTCTAAATCATAAGGATTAGATATATCAAGTGTACAGCACTTACTGTACCAAGTCTAGAGCAATGTTCAGAAGTTGGCCAATATTTCCCCTTAGTAGGTGTTTTTAAAATTTGAGATGGGGGGGGGGGTAGTGGGGCAGCCAAAAAAAAAAATGTTGCTGAAATTTTATTGCACATTTAAATTGCACACATTTCTTCCCACACAAGTGAAAATGTCAAATGAACAAATTTTTAGCAAATATTTATGAGTTTCTAATTGTTCTTTATTGTATCATCATTACTACTTTTAGTAAACTTATAAAGTCTAGTTTTTGCAGAATTTATATACTAACATAAAATTCATTTGAAGGGGGACATCAGTCCTTGTTTAATAAAGTGGAGAAAAAGGGGAGCTAGGCAAAAGTAAAACGGTTTGGAAACACTCCTTAAGAGCATTAAGTGACTTAATGTAAAAATTTAGCAATGAAAATTTAATGTTTATGTACTACACATATACTACATATTTTTTCCTTTAAGTAAAGTCTCTCCTCACTTAATGATGTAGTTCCATTCCTAAGAGTAGTTTGGTAAATGAATTGGTTGTTAAGTGAGGAGCATACTATACTGGTAGTGGGTGTGTCAACCATATTTAGATATTGTTTTAATGTCACCTTGCATCATTTATAACATTTTTAGTATATTTTTAAATGCTTATACAGTAGTGTACTGTATATTGTAATAAGCAGAATAGAGAAAATCAGCTCTAATAGACATTCCTTAGGTATTCATACTAGTCAGAGAGCTGGTAATAAGGCCGAGCGGTCATTAAGTGAGTACATTGTTAAAAAGTAGAGTATGTAGGAAAGAGGGAGATTATTTCCCAGTAAAAGTAGGCATTAGACAAGGATGTGTGATGTCACCGTGGTTGTTTAATATATTTATAGATGGGGTTGTAAGAGAAGTAAATGCGAGGGTCTTGGCAAGAGACGTGGAGTTAAAAGATAAAGAATCACACATAAAGTGGGAGTTGTCACAGTTGCTCTTTGCTGATGACACTGTGCTCTTGGGAGATTCTGAAGAGAAATTGCAGAGATTGGTGGATGAATTTCGTAGGGTGTGCAAAAGAAGAAAATTAAAAGTGAATACAGGAAAGAGTAAGGTTATGAGGATAACAAAAAGATTAGGTGATGAAAGATTGGATATCAGATTGGAGGGAGAGAGTATGGAGGAGGTGAATGTATTCAGATATTTGGGAGTGGACGTGTCAGCGGATGGGTCTATGAAAGATGAGGGGAATCATAGAATTGATGAGGGGAATCATAGAATTGATGAGGGGAAAAGGGTGAGTGGTGCACCTAGGAGTCTGTGGAGACAAAGAACTTTGTCCTTGGAGGCAAAAAGGGGAATGTATGAGAGTATAGTTTTACCAACGCTCTTATATGGGTGTGAAGCATGGGTGATGAATGTTGCAGCGAGGAGAGGGCTGGAGGCAGTGGACATGTCATGTCTGAGGGCAATGTGTGGTGTGAATATAATGCAGAGGATTCGTAGTTTGGAAGTTAGGAGGAGGTGCGGGATTACCAAAACTGTTGTCCAGAGGGCTGAGGAAGGGTTGTTGAGGTGGTTCGGACATGTAGAGAGAATGGAGTGAAACAGAATGACTTCAAGAGTGTATCAGTCTGTAGTGGAAGGAAGGCGGGGTAGGGGTCGGCCTAGGAAAGGTTGGAGGGAGGGGGTAAAGGAGGTTTTGTGTGCGAGGGGCTTGGACTTCCAGCAGGCATGCGTGGGCGTGTTTGATTGGAGTGAATGGAGACAAATGGTTTTTAAAACTTGACTTGCTGTTGGAGTGTGAGCAAAGTAACATTTATGAAGGGATTCAGGGAAACCGGCAGGCCGGACTTGAGTCCTGGAGATGGGAAGTACAGTGCCTGCACTCTGAAGGAGGGGTGTTAATGTTGCAGTTTAAAAACTGTAGTGTAAAGCACCCTTCTGGCAAGACAGTGATGGAGTGAATGATGGTGAAAGTTTTTCTTTTTCGGGCCACCCTGCCTTGGTGGGAATTGGCCAGTGTGTTAATTATAATAATAATAATAAAAAAAAATGTTAAAAATTCTTTTCCACTTCTCCATGGGGAAGCGGAAAAGAATTCTTCCTCCGTAAGCCATGTGTGTTATAAGAGGTGACTAAAATGCCAGGAGCAAGGGGCTAGTAACTCCTTCTGTATAAATTACTATATTTTTCTCTTTCGTTTTTCTTCTTAGGTCACCCTGCCTCGAAAGTTTTTCTTTTTAAATTCAGTAATTTATACAGGAGAAGGAATTTCTAGCCCCATACTCCCGGCATTTTAGTTGCCTCTCACAATACACATGGCTGACAGAGGAAGAATTCTGTTCCACTTCCCCATGTAGTGAGACTCATGTTGTCAACAACAATTCATTACAGGTTGGAGTCAGTCAGCAGCAGCTGTCAGATACGCGCACAAGGGAGTTCATTTATGACTTCATTGAGAGAAATGGTGGTGTTGAGAAGGCCATGCAGGAAACCCAGCGATATGCATCAATGCCTTTGGGCACCACACACACTGATAACTCATCCTCACCACCACCCCCACCTACTAAAGCTGCACCACCTCCAACACCCCCAACTATCCCCTCTCATAACTCAATTTCTGGCTCCCGGGCTGCTCCACCACCACCACCTCCACGTACTAATAATCATGGTCATCCTCCTCCCCCTCCTCCTCCTACATCTGCTCCACCCCCACCACCCCCACATCCTCGAGGCCCTATGCCACCTCCGCCTCCAGGACAGATAGTAGCAGGTACGATTCTGTTTTATGTTCATTTTATTATGTGATACTGTACTGCAGCATATTTTATACCAGCCATTTAAATGATGAAAAAACTAGTAATTTGTGTATCATTTTAATTCTTATTGTTTTAAACATTTTGGGACAGAATTTATTTAATAACACTATTTAAACCCTTTATTTCAGATTTTGTTGTGTATTAGTTAATTCTCCTATTTTACATTAATGTATAATAGTATATGTTTTTGGTGAAGCTGCTGTTTTATATACAATACAGTAGATGTAGCCACAAAATATTATTTTGATCTACATCCTCTCCCTCAGGACAAAAGACTGCACCCCTACCTCCCATTCCTGCCTCTAGTCTTCCTCCACCACCCCCTCCAACATCTACCATTCCCACTTTCCACCATGGAAATAAGGCAGCTGCTCCGCTTCCTCCACCTCCTGCACCTCCAACGTAATGGAGTTCCTCCCCCTCCACCTCCTCCTCCCCCTCCTGGTGGACTTCATACTGGTGGAGTCAATATGGATACCCGTTCAGCACTTCTGGACCAGATTCGTACTGGGCCCACATTAAAGGTATTTGGAAAAACTTGGCTATCTGTGTCTTGGTTTTATGTAAAGATTAATCTTTTCTGTATTTGTAATAACTTTGTGGAGATTTTTTGTGGAGATTTCTAAGATTCCATGCATGTCGTAAGAGGCGACTAAAATGCCAGGAGCAAGGGGCTAGTGACCCCTTCTCCTGTATACATTACTAAATTTATAAAGAGAAATTTGTGTTTTTCTTTTTGGGCCACCCTGCTTTGTTGGGATACGGCCAGTGCGTTTCAAGAAGAATAATTTCTAAGATTACTAGACATTTAAATCTTATCTGAAACTATGCATGGAAAATATCCAGATATTTGACTAATTTTTTAATTAGCAAGTACAGTGTATTATTCTTTGCATACAGTATATAGCTCACAATGTTTTAAGTCCCATTTTTTTAAAAATATTTAAACAGTACTCAGATTCAGTATAATGTGTTATTTAGATTATATTTTTGCCTTTTGCTGAAAAATCTGTACCTAGCTTTATATACTCCTGTATTATATGTTATTTGTTGATACAGATTTATTTATTGCAATGTGACTTACGAAATAGTGATGACACGATTCCAATATACTATTAGTAAACTCTCAGTTTAACAGACTTCAGAAATACTGTACCAGACAAAATCCCATGAGTCACTTCATTTAGAAATAAAAGACAGTGTTGGCTACAGAATTGTCTGTTATTGTTATGATCACAGCAAGACAATCTTGATTCCATCTATCACAGTCTCTGTTACTGATTATTCACCTCTCTATTATTCCATTAAAACAATTGTTTGCTGCATTTCACCACACATTCTTGTGTTTTATTTAATGGTCACAAATTTGATTAGATGTGTTTATCAGTTTACTTAATCATTAAAGTACTGTCCATTAATAATTGTTATGTAAGAAAGCAAAATCAGAGCTTGTTTTGGATAGCCTTTTCAACTATTTGAAATTCCCATTTCAGATGAGAGTATCTCTACAACGCATTACTGAAGTGCATTTTCTTAATGTTAATGTCACTAATTAATCTGTAGATACTGTAGTCATGTTCCTATAAGTATTTTTCACAAACGATGAATGATAAATGGATTAGCAAATTTCAGCTAGCGATTACTCTGCGAACAGTGTCTTCACTATTTTGTATGCATTTTGTCTACAGAGAATTCGTTTAAAAGGACATTCAGTTATTATATCTGCCATAATCTGTTTTAGATTTTTTAATCTGTTAGCCAGCTATTAATGTTATGGTTTGTTATATAATGTCTTTAGTTTAGCCACTACTTCACATCTTAAAATACCCCAGGCCCAACACATGTCGCAAAGCTTAAACAATGAAAAAAATAAAAGTAAATTAAATTAAGCTGTTGAAAATAATAACAAATAGCACATTTGAAAGTTACTTGAAGCTTCACAGTGGAATATAAATTTAAAATTCTCTTTGTGCATACAGCTAAATAGACGAACTAATGGTTCAGGTTTTTGTACCGCTATACTGTTGTCATTCTTTCCTCATTTAAAGGATGGGAAAGGAAAATTCAAGAACTATCGTTTTAAAGATTATGAATTAAATTTTACCCTGATCAGATATTTTATAAAAATAGACATAGCTTGATCAATACAAACATGTTTTGGTGAGAGCAGAATGAGTTGGGCAGTGAATGGTATGTAATTTTTGTTGCAAAAGATTTCTTAATCTGTTTTTGGATTGATGTCCTAATCTTTTGCTATCATCATAATTGTTTTGCATAAGGACAATAATAATAGAGCCCCTGGTGTTCCTACACAACATTCACATGCTGAATATTGCTCAAGTTGAAATATTTACTGCCAGTTGAGCCTTCAAGGGGATGCCTTGGTGCTGGTGAAGAGTTCCTGATCCAGGGAGTTGAAGCTACCTTTCCCTTTTGATATAACCTGATTACCTCCTATTTCCCAGCTGCTGTATGACCCTCTACAAGGTTTAGTGCTTCCCCATGATTATAACAACACTGCCTGTTGAGTAACATGATATAGACTTGCTTGGATGGCCACTTCAGTTGTGCACTCAGTGTATTGCTCTCACTACTTTTATCCCTTAGGATTTTTAATACCCTTATTAGTACTAAGGAAAAAAGGATGCTGTAGCATAGACTAATGTTTATACCAAATAATACACATCTGGCTAATACAGGTTATTTGTGTGTACCTTTTTAACATGGTGTAATGATGGTACATTAGCTATGTTGTAGAAAACCTCATTGTCTTTTTTGCTTATGCCATGCAAACTTTGCGAGCTAGATCATTATTTTTTCACATATTGAATTCAGGATCATCATAGAATTTTGAAAGTACATTTGAGATTCGGTTGTATTGATCCTTACTTTGAAATAACAAAAGCATACAAGACAAGAGGATTTCTTGGAGCTGTGATAGTGGCATAATTGACTCTAAAGACAGCTACTCTTTTTTCCCTCCCCCTCTCGACAGGCCAGTAGTCAGCATGGTTACCAGGTATTCTCATCTCAACGTTTGTTTTCACTACTGCTTTGCTTAGAAATGCTCTCATGCCGTGCTTATTAGAAAAACCATTAGCTGCTGTTTAGACACACAAGTAATCCATATTCAGAAAAAAATGTTGTATATGTCAAGTTTTATTTTCAATTTTTCATTTTAATTGTGTTTATTATTCCTAGATAGAGCCTTGGTGGTGGCTCTGGGGTGTAGTGTTTAATAAAATGACACACTTGGCCCATTTGCCTTGCATGGGCCAGTAGGCCTGTTGCAGTGTTCCTTCTTTCATTTGTTATTTCAAATCCACAAAAAAAAAAAAAAGTCTGGTTGTGGCATGTGGCCAGGTGCATGATGAAATGTACCTACTGGAATATCTCTAGATGCTGAAGTGTTTCTGGGTGTTGGGCAGGCATGCACTGCCAAAACTTGTTAGGGAATTTGTCACTGAACAAAGTTGCCAGACTGAAAATCCCTGAAGCTGCATTGGAAATTTTGGTGTAAGGATGAGCCCTGGCCATGGCTCTGAGGTATAACGTGCATATAAGGAGAATTGTGGCCCATTTCAGTAAACTTATATATCAGGTAGATGCAATTACAGGGAGGATAGAGGATGCAGAAATCTGTGCTCCATAACCACACCCACCCAAGCAGGTTCAACCATGGACAAGCCATTAGACCATGATGCAGCAGCTAGAGCATATTTCAAGTCTTCATATAGCACAATACTTGTGTGGTCTTGGAAAGCATCATTTGAAGCAAGCTTGTAGTGGTAAACACTGCACTAAATTTATTTGGAAATCATGTCTGAGTTGACAAGAATGTAGTTCTTTTAATTTTCATCGCTGCCTTGGAACATCATGGTATTAAAATAGTTAAACAAAGCTAACTACCACAGTATATGGAATGCAACAAGGGACTTTTTATTTAATGGCTTTTCTGTCTGTTGGGGATGAATTATTCTTATTGGTTGAAAGAAGTGAATTAAACTTCATAAGAATAAAGATACTGTACTGTACATCCTCATGACTTCTTCCATAGCTTACTAACTCTTAAGACCTTAATAGCTTCATATTTTACCCTGTCAGTAAGTTGCTTTATCTATAGTATTTGAGTGTCAAAAATTTTGCCTTTTCACGTTTTTCTGCTTAATTAAATAAGAGGGACCCCAGCTTATGAACACAGGAGTTACGAATATCTGCATAAAAATTTAATTTTTTATGTATTCCATTTACAGTTAAAAATGTGTGAAACATAACCCAACTTTTGTACCATTGTTTTCTGTAAGAGAGAAGGTTCATGTTACAAATGACTTATTGGCAAGTTGAAGTACCAAAAATGTAACTTGTTCATAAGTTGGGGACCTCCTATGCTGCTTCTTAACAATTTGTGCAGAAGTTTTGTGATATATAGTTTTTGGGTAGTGCATGTGTTAGTAAATCAATTAGATACTCTCCATAATGAGCGTGTAGAAGTTTTCTGCATGATTATTGTAACCAGTGATAATTTTGAAAATTAACTCCTTAGGATAATTCAGATTATAAATATGTAACTTATTACCTTCCCTAATAGAAAGTGGAGCCATTAGAACGACCAGCACCCACAGACTCCCGCAGCCAGCTGCTGGACCAGATCAGATCTGGAATCAAGCTGAATCCTGTAAGTTTCCAGTAGTTTATTTTCACATTAAGTGTGTTAATGAAGATGTTTGAATTAATTTTGAGATTAATTGCAATACATTAGATATTTATCTACTTGTAATAATATAAGCTACATTGGTAAGAGCTCAGAATTAAGGTTTCAGAAGAATTTAGTATACGTTGATGTAAATAGGACTCGCTTGTCATGGGTTTAAACTCGACTTGTTTCTTGATTAGTTTGAAGAGTATTAGGTGAGTGAGATGTTATCAACAAATTTTGTTGAAAATAAGAAAAAGTTATGGAGTGAGATTAACAAGTTAAGGAAGCCTAGAGAACATATGGATTTGTCAGTTAAAAATAGGAGAGGAGAGTTATTAAATGAAGAGTTAGAGGTATTGGGAAGATGGAGGGAATATTTTGAGGAATTGTTAAATGTTGATGAAGATAGGGAAGCTGTGATTTCGTGTATAGGGCAAAGAGGAATAACATCTTGTAGGAGTGAGGAAGAGCCAGATGTGAGTGTGGGGGAAGTTCGTGAGGCAGTAGGTAAAATGAAAGGGGGTAAGGCAGCCGGGATTGATGGGATAAAGATAGAAATGTTGAAAGCAGGTGGGGATATAGTTTTGGAGTGGTTGGTGCAATTATTTAATAAATGTATGGAAGAGGGTAAGGTACCTAGGGATTGGCAGAGAGCATGCATAGTTCCTTTGTATAAAGGCAAAGGGGACAAAAGAGAGTGCAAAAAATTATAGGGGGATAAGTTTGATATATTTATAGATGGGGTTGTAAAAGAAGTAAATGCTAGGGTGTTCGGGAGAGGGGTGGGATTAAATTATGGGGAATCAAATTTAAAATGGGAATTGACACAGTTACTTTTTGCTGATGATACTGTGCTTATGGGAGATTATAAAGAAAAGCTGCAAAGGTTAGTGGATGAGTTTGAGAATGTGTGTAAAGGTAGAAAGTTGAAAGTGAACATAGAAAAGAGTAAGGTGATAAGGGTATCAAATGATTTAGATAAAGAAAAATTGGATATCAAATTGGGGAGGAGGAGTATGGAAGAAGTGAATGTTTTCAGATACTTGGGAGTTGACGTGTCGGCGGATGGATTTATGAAGGATGAGGTTAATCATAGAATTGATGAGGGAAAAAAGGTGAGTGGTGCGTTGAGGTATATGTGGAGTCAAAAAAACGTTATCTATGGAGGCAAAGAAGGGAATGTATGAAAGTATAGTAGTACCAACACTCTTATATGGATGTGAAGCTTGGGTGGTAAATGCCGCAGCGAGGAGACGGTTGGAGGCAGTGGAGATGTCCTGTCTAAGGGCAATGTGTGGTGTAAATATTATGCAGAAAATTCGGAGTGTGGAAATCAGGAGAAGGTGTGGAGTTAATAAAAGCATTAGTCAGAGGGCAGAAGAGGGGTTGTTGAGGTGGTTTGGTCATTTAGAGAGAATGGATCAAAGTAGAATGACATGGAAAGCATATAAATCTATAGGGAAAGGAAGGAGGGGTAGGGGTCGTTCTCGAAAGGGTTGGAAAGAGAGGGTAAAGGAGGTTTTGTGGGCAAGGGGCTTGGACTTCCAGCAAGTGTGCATGAGCGTGTTAGATAGTAGTGAATGGAGATGAATGATACTTGGGACCTGACGATCTGTTGGAGTGTGAGCAGGGTAATATTTAGTGAAGGGATTCAGGGAAACCGGTTATTTTCATATAGTCGGACTTGAGTCCTGGAAATGCGAAGTACAATGCCTGCACTTTAAAGGAGGGGTTTGGGATATTGGCAGTTTGGAGGGATATGTTGTGTATCTTGATACGTATATGCTTCTAAACTGTTGTATTCTGAGCACCTCTGCAAAAACAGTGATAATGTGTGAGTGTGGTGAAAGTGTTGAATGATGATGAAAGTATTTTCTTTTTGGGGATTTTCTTTCTTTTTTGGGTCACCCTGCCACGGTGGGAGACTGCTGACTTGTTGCAAAAAAAAAAAAAAAAGTTTGTTGAGTGTACCTGGTAAAGTGTATGGTAGAGTTATTATTGAAAGAATTAAGAGTAAGACGGAGAATAGGATAGCCGATGAACAAGGAGGCTTTAGGAAAGGTAGGGGGTGTGTGGACCAGGTGTTTACAGTGAAACACACAAGTGAACAGTATTTAGATAAGGCTAAAGAGGTCTTTGTGGCATTTATGGATTTGGAAAAGGCGTATGACAGGGTGGATAGGGGGGCAATGTGGCAGATGTTGCAGGTGTATGGTGTAGGAGGTAGGTTACTGAAAGCAGTGAAGAGTTTTTACGAGGATAGTAAGGCTCAAGTTAGAGTATGTAGGAAAGAGGGAAATTATTTCCCAGTAAAAGTTGGCCTTAGACAAGGGTGTGTGATGTCACCGTGGTTATTTAATATATTTATAGATGGGGTTGTAAGAGAAGTAAATGCGAGGGTCTTGGCAAGAGGCGTGGAGTTAAAAGATAAAGAATCACACTTAAAGTGGGAGTTGTCACAGTTGCTCTTTGCTGATGACACTGTGCTCTTGGGAGATTCTGAAGAGAAGTTGCAGAGTTTGGTGGATGAATTTGGTAGGGTATGCAAAAGAAGAAAATTAAAAGTGAATACAGGAAAGAGTAAGGTTATGAGGATAACAAAAAGATTAGGTGATGAAAGATTGGATATCAGATTGGAGGGAGAGGGTATGGAGGAGGTGAATGTATTCAGATATTTGGGAGTGGACGTGTCAGCGGATGGGTCTATGAAAGATGAGGTGAATCATAGAATTGATGAGGGGAAAAGGGTGAGTGGTGCACTTAGGAGTCTGTGGAGACAAAGAACTTTGTCCTTGGAGGCAAAGAGGGGAATGTATGAGAGTATAGTTTTACCAATGCTCTTACATGGGCGTGAAGCATGGGTGATGAATGTTGTAGCGAGGAGAAGGCTGGAGGCAGTGGAGATGTCATGTCTGAGGGCAATGTGTGGTGTGAATATAATGCAGAGAATTCGTAGTTTGAAAGTTAGGAGGAGGTGCGGGATTACCAAAACTGTTGTCCAGAGGGCTGAGGAAGGGTTGTTGAGGTGGTTCGGACATGTAGAGAGAATGGAGCGAAACAGAATGACTTCAAGAGTGTATCAGTCTGTAGTGGAAGGAAGGCGGGGTAGGGGTCGGCCTAGGAAAGGTTGGAGGGAGGGGTAAAGGAGGTTTTGTGTGTGAGGGGCTTGGACTTCCAGCAGGCATGCGTGAGCGTGTTTGATAGGAGTGAATGGAGACAAATGGTTTTTAATACTTGACGTGCTGTTGGAGTGTGAGCAAAGTAACATTTATGAAGGGGTTCAGGGAAACCGGCAGGCCGGACTTGAGTCCTGGAGATGGGAAGTACAGTGCCTGCACTCTGAAGGAGGGGTGTTAATGTTGCAGTTTAAAAACTGTAATGTAAAGCACCCTTCTGGCAAGACAGTGATGGAGTGAATGATGGTAAAAGTTTTTCTTTTTTGGGCCACCCTGCCTTGGTGGGAATCGGCCAGTGTGATAATACTGTAATAATAAAAATTAGTAGTGTAAGAGGTGAATGAGTGTTAGTACAGTAAGAGGTCATAAGGATCAGCAGTGTAAGAGGTAGATTATTAAATATTGCTAGTCAGCTGATTTGTGAATTTTATCCAGCTTCAAATTGATCAGGTTTTAGGTCAAGCAAACTCACAAATCACACCTCATAGCAGTGCAGCTACGCAATTTCAATCATACATTCTGCTGTTAATTCGCTGCACAATGTAGATGAGTACCATATCTGTTGTGTAAGAGGAAAACAAGTATCATTTAATCATGACAAATTAAGTTTTGGGAGCAAGAGGCTAGTAACCCTTTCTGTATAAAATACTAAATGGAATAAGAAGAAAAACTTTGTAAGGTTCTCTTCTTTTTCGAGTCACCCTGCCTCGGTGGGAGACAACCAGTATGTTGAAAAAATAAATAAATTTTCTGTTACCATTGGAGTTTTCCATTTCACAACTTTTCTTAGCCTTTGAGTTATCTTTGAAATCTCTTTAGTAATCTCCATTTTTTGTGTGTATTTCCTTTCAGATGCCTTGGCTTTGCTCTGCATATATTATTCCCATTTTCTTGTCCCTACAGATTCTCAGTATCCCTTATTTGCTCTTTTTCCATGCTTTTATTAATAATATAAATTGTAATTTTTTGGTAAAAAACCAACTGTGTTATCATCATTTAGGTGGAAGAGAATGTGGATAGTGGAGGTGCTGTGAAATCTAATGAGCCCAAGTTAGAGGGATTGGCACTGGACCTGCATCGTGCACTGACCAGTCGTGCATTGGTCATTCAGTCTGATGATGACAGCTCTGATGATGATGAAGATGAGGAAGATGAGTGGGACGATGATGATACTTGAAAAAGAAGACATTAAGACATTTCATGTCTAAGGTATAATTTCTTTAAACTAAGTAAAATTTCTGAAGCTTGTATGTATAGCTTTATAATCACAAATAGAAAATAAAAAATTACATTGATAAGTCTTAAAAACAATTTGTTGTAATTAATGAATGATAAATATGTAATTAAACAGCATCTGCTGGGGGCTGTTAGTACATTTTGTTTGTGAAATATGCAGAACTGTTCAATTTATAGGACCCTGGATGACACTGACCAATTTTTCAAGAGAAGATACTATACAGTCCAGTAAAAAGACAAAAATGTAATACTAGTATAGTTGAAATTAGTGATTGGTCTCTTGTCTGAGCTGAAGGGGACAGCGTATTTCTGGTATGGAAATCCAAGTTTGGCTATTGATTAATTACAGCACTGTACGACTTATGGTTTTAGTGCTTGGTATTAATTATAATAAATAATATTGATTAATTAGTTAAATACATTTTAAAGTAGAATTTCTGTTAATTGACAGGTTTGATAGGACATGTAATTCAGGTTATTTTGATTACATATATCGATGCATACCTTGATGTCTGAACAGAGGGTGAGAAATGCAAACAATTTCTATCATTGTTCATCATTTATCAACATATTACTGAAACACTCGTACGTATTGTTACCATATTGTGTGTTAGCTCTCATGAATAATAAAAAAAGGCACAATACTGTGACTGGAACGATACACAAATAACCCACACATAGAAGAGAGGAGCTTACGACTTTGTAAATGGTTCAACTCGGACCGAAACGTCGCCGTAAGCTCCTCTCTTCTATGTGCGGGTTATTTGTGTATTAGCTCTCATGTATTTTAAGCATCAGATAGGCAAATAATCAATTAGTACTGTATCACTATCTGAATTTTTTAATGATACAAGGTATATGTCCCATATGTTATACATAGAAATTTTGTACTGTATATAAAATTATTTTTCAAAAGGTTTTGAATCTCAAGGATTTGATAAGTACAGTGAGGATCTGGGCTATGAATGCTGAATTGATTTGTCTGTGCTTGAGTGACCTTGAGACTTTGAAGAAGGTGCACTTGGCCTTGCACTTAAAAGAACTGCTTTAAGATTGATGTCCCATCACTACGATAATGTTTTGGGATGGTGTTGTGCGCAACATATAGCTTTATATACCAGTATACTTTAGGTTTAAATATTAAATAAAATAGTCAATATGCAATGCATATACACTTTGGTGATGGAAGACAAAACTTTGTTATAATGAAGTCAAAAGATCATGAAAGTGTTTTTCTCATACGGCAGGCAGTCTGGGGTGTACCGTTAAGTAGATGAGTAAGACACATGCAACAGTTGGGTATCTTTATACCTGACTGTTCCACATGCATCTTACCCATTACTTTAGGTTTTCACGTGTAACTCCCCTTCCTTCCCACTATGCTTAGTGCTTATATTGATGTACTGTACCTTCGGAAGAATCTTGACCTTTGGGTGCAAAAATGGAGTCATAATTTTTTTTCTATGATATTAAGGTATATGTGTAATTGCCTGTGTGTAATTATTGTACCTATTTGTGGTATTAGAAGCAAAACTGTGTTTGTAGGGTCCCATTCTCAGTTTTTAGTTTCTTGAAATGATTTGAAGATAAAAATTGCTTGTAGCACATATTACCTTTTGGATCCATTCCAGTATTCTATCACTATTTGTGAAGAATATCTTAGTGGTATGCTACTGGTATTATTTTTGGGTTACAACTGTGACCCCTCTGTTCTTTTTACTGATGGTGCCAAGAAATCTGTTTTCTTCTATACAGTAGGGCCCCACTTACACGACGGGTTAGGTTCCAGGCTATCGCCGGAAAGCAGAATGCCATTTTTTCCATTTATAAATGCATATAAATGCCAGACAACAAGTTTACACTAAATTATATTAAGTTAGTAATAGAACTAGGCATTAAAAACACAAAAAGTAAAATACATACACAGTACATTCATTACTTATCTTAAAGAATTTGTAATCTTAATGTAGGCGAGAGGTGAGTAGTACTTATTTGTAGGAAGTCAGGTGTAGGTAGCCCAGGTGTAGGTAGCCCTCGCTCCCCATCTCATACTTAATATACGATATTTAAAACATCCCAGAGAGTTAAAATACACATACAGTACACTCATTATTTACCTTAAAATATGTGTAGTCTTAATATAGGAAGAGAGGTGAGTAGTATTTATTTGTAGGAAGTCAGTGTAGGTAGTCAGTAGGTGTAGCCCTCCTGGCCTACACCTACCGGCTACCTACACTGTGGCCCAGAGCCATATGATTATCATCGACATACCTTGTTCACTGAATTTAATTGTTTCTAACAACTACCTTTAGATGCCATCATAAACGAAGGGAGAAGTAATGAATAATTCATGCCGAAAATTGTAAACAAAAGTGGAGTGGGGGAGTGGCTGGGCCAAACGCAGATTCATACACGTTTTCTCTGGTGCCTGACCAGAGAAAACGTAATGTTCTCCCTCCGCCCGGCTACCACACAGGTCCACAAGTATTATTATCAGAGCACATATAAAATATGCAATAAATGCCAGATAACAAGTTTACACTAATTTATATTAAGTTAGCAATAGAAATAGGCATTAAAAACACAATAAAAGGTAAGATACACACAGAGTACACTTATTACTTACCGTAAAATATTAATGTGTGAGGTGAGTGGCAGGGTGTTTATTGAATAAAATCAGAATGGCACACCATCATCCTCTAACTTGGCACTTAAAGCAAGAGGCTTACGACTCCTCTTTTTGTCACAGCTAAGCTTAGACGCCATCATCAATGAGAGCCAGCTAGTTAACGAAAGAGTAAACGAGAGAGAAAACGAGATAGAGAGTTCAGACAATGTAAGAAACAAACTGAACAGGTAGTGGGCGATCACTTGGTCAGGCTAAATAAATGCGTATTAATGTGTGTCTACTTTTAGTTCATTCACGTACGTTTGTAAGAGTTTGTAAAACTTATACCTCACAATATTTTTTTTATTATACATGTAATAATAATTACCTCATAATACAAATACTCTTACATTGTGTACAAGTTGTACAAGCTAGTACAGAATAAACAAACAGCAACACTCCCATTCTCATGCAACACACCATTTTTAAATGAATGAAGATGATGATATTATTATTATCATCATAATAAAAAAGCGCTAAAGCCACAAAGGTCGTGAATTGCTATATATAGAGTGAAGGCATACGAAAGGAATATTTTTCTACAGTTATCCCCCAGTGTTTGACTTGAGAAAACCCAATTCTTCCGACACTACCTACACAGCTGCTTTGTAAACAAATCTCATATTTACGTTGCTTTTTATTCTGTGAGTGTATGTATCATGTTTATATGCTATGTAACATATTTCTTATATAATTTTTAGGAAAATATCATAGATGGATTAATGAAAATGTCTATATTAATGTAAAGACATTTAATGTGCCCAAGAGTGATGATTATTACGTACTATTGGCATCGTGAGTAGAGAGACTCTTAGCGATTTTAATGTGTACCTGCACACCAACACAGTGTGTAAGTATATTTAGGTACAAGTACACATAAGTATAATTATCAGAGTACATATAAAATATGCAATAACTGTAAAACACTTGAAATTTTGGAAAGTTTCCAGACATAATAGATGTGGTCATGGAGAATGTAAACAAACCGGGTGGGGCGCGCTGTATATGAAAGACCGCTTGCCGTATAGCAAATTTTGGTCATAATTTGACATCACTGTATTAGCGGAACGCCATAAGGCGAAATGCCGTAAAACGGGGCCCTACTGTACCTTTATGATCTTATTTGCAGTTTTTATTTGTTTTTCCTGCCAATCAGAAAGGACATTTTTCAGTTTTTCATCCACATTCAAGTTACATACATCTGTGTTGTTTTCTGTTCACACTGTAAAACTTAGAGATTATTTAAGCATTTCTGCCACCACTTGCCATGCATAGCTCACCAGTCATAGAATCTCAATGCAGTTTCAACTTAAGCCTTAACTTGCATCATTCTGCCATATATTTGATAACAAATGCGTGCATTACATACCACAGATGTTCAAAGTACATGAAACCTGATTTTTTTAAGCGTTGCATGAAACACATGCTCAGTTTGTGCTGTTCCTACTTATATTTTATACCCCAAAAAATTTAAGGTGTACAGTATTATATTTTACTGGAACTAATTGAAGATACTGTCTATATACAGTACTACAGGTGTTTATTGCTTATAAAATTTTAGAGGGGATGTTTGTGGAGTTACAAGATCATGGTAAGTGTGTGGGTGGCAGTGTCAGCATTTGGCTATGGCAGCAAGTTAAAGGATGCCTCCCATTTCTGATACTCTCATTGTCATTCCTTTTTTTTTTTTTTAATGGGCAATCATATATTTATTACCTGGGTGGGATGAGAGTTTGAAACACACTTAAAGCAAAATTAAATCTTTTATTTATACAAGACATTTTGCTTACAAGAGGTTCCATTTATCAAGTACTAGATAAAGACTTAAAAGGTGAAATGTCGTTTTTAATACAAGACCTGCATTCTACTGTACACATTTTCTACCAGCCTCAGGTATTTGCCACTGACAGATGTCTTGCCCATCCTCATATGAGGTACTGCTATGCATTAGGCTTTCACTTTCTTTTCATTATTGGCTGCGTGACCCTTATGGGTTTAGCACTTACTTATGATAAAATTTAGTATGTGATCTTTTTATAATTAGGTTTAATTTCACATCTGATATCTGCTTGTACTGAGCTGTTACTAGTATTATTATTATTCTTCTTTCAACAAACCGGCCGTATCCCACCAAGGCAGGGTGGCCCAAAAAGAAAAACTAAAGTTTCTCTTTTTAAATTTAGTAATTTATACAGGAGAAGGGGTTACTAGCCCCTTGCTCCCGGCATTTTAGTCGCCTCTTACAACACGCATAGCTTATGGAGGAAGAATTCTGTTCCACTTCCCCATGGAGATAAGAGGAATAAACAAGAACAAGAACTAGTAAGAAAATAGAAGAAAACCCAGAGGAGTGTGTATATATATGCTTGTACATGTATGTGTAGTGTGACCAAAGTGTAAGAAGAAGTAGCAAGACATACTTGTAATCTTGCATATTTATGAGACAAAAGGACACCAGCAATCCTACCATCATGTAAAACAATTACAGGCTTTCGTTTTACACTCACTTGGCAGGACGGAGTACCTCCCTGGGCAGTTGCTGTCTACCAGCCTACTACCTAGGGTATTATTATTATAATCATATAATCAGTATCACTATGCCCCAGTTACCTTTTTTTTATTCTTTTTTCCTGTGTGTGCATTGGTTCCTACAAATATATATGGCACTATTAAGAATCTCTAATACGAGTTTACCAAATATTTATTTATTGAGAAGTTGTGTCCCTGCATCTGATTTTTTCAGTCTGGTAATACAGCGAAGTGCAATCCAGGGAGGTATGGCTGAGGAAGAGTACCACATGTAAATATATTAAATATGGGTATCAGTATAATAATTTAGTTTGTTACAGGTAAATATTTTGTTAACTTGTAAGGAAGTTTGCAGGATTGTTAGGATGAAGCTGCCTGCTGTAGACTGAATCTCACTGCCACATGATACTTAGTTGTGTGCACTAAAACTCGACAGAAAATACATGGCAAATGCTGTAGAGCAGTGGTTCTCAACCTTCCTGCACAAGTCTGCCACATTTGACGTTCAAATGTGCGATGAGAGCCGCACAGTTTTGTTGATACTGTGCAGTGTGTAACCTACGTAAAAGTGAATTCATAATTTCATGTAAGGGACACATCCATTTCCTAGGAGGGCCACATGTGGCCTGCAGGTTGGAGACCCCTGCTGTAGAGTATTACCCCATGACTTATGTATTAAAAAAAAAAATGTTCCATATCATTTATTCAAGGCAGGTAATGCTTGGGGAATATTCTATCAGACAGCTGTGAATATTTTTGGATTGGTTATACCTAAATGCATTTTTTTGTAACACCAGCCATTTTCCCACCAAGGTAGGGCAAGTCAAAGGAAGCAGACATTTCCCTCATACTCTAACTTTTTACAATGACTCTTCAGTATATTTCCTTAAAGATACGTATATGTCTGCTTAATAGCTTTAATATATTTTATATTTTTCCTTGATTTGGTTATCATTTACTTGAAATATTTTCTATTTTTATGCACTGAAATATTAAAATACAGAAAATATGCTATACTTCATATTTAATATAGTACGTTTTCTTTTAAAGAATACACATTTTTTGTAATCTTGATTGCTATGGTCTTTTTCACGATTTCATACAGAAATATATTTATTATTCACTTCTATTACATTTATATTATAGGCATATGTGTATAAGGATGCACGTGCGTGCCACACACACACACACACACAAACACACACACACACACACAACACACACACAACAACACAACACACACACACACACCCCACACAACACACACACACCACACACACAACAACACACAACACACAAACACACACACACACACACACACAACACACACACACACACACACACACACACACACACACACACACACACACACACACACACACACACACACACACACACACACACACACACACACACACACACCACACACCACACACACCAACACACACACACAACACACACACACACACACACAACCACACACACACACACCACACACACACAACACACAACACACAACACAACACACACACACAACACACACACAAAACACACACACACACACACACAAAATTGCATTTTCTTATAAATTATGTATTCAATAAAATACACAGTTAAAAAAAAACTGCCAGTGAGGCAAACCTAAATGATAATAAAGGAAAGGTTTTTAAGAGATGAATTTGATTAACCTAATTACATGTTACCTAGTATGACCTAGCAAGATACATGGTATGACCTAGCAGGATAATTTGCTTATTTTTTTTTTAACATGTTAGCAGTCTCCTGAGGCAGGGTGATGCAAAAAAGAAATGTATAGTTCCTAGTGTAAGTATTACTACACTTGTAATGCTGCTGACATCACCACCATTCACACTCTCACTGTCTTGCTAGAGGCATGCAGATATGATAGTTCAGATGTCCCTTTAAACAGCAACTATAATATGTAATGAAATATAATTAAAATATAATAAGGTAATTATATTGAGTATATAAACATATAGAATAAATTCCATCAAAATGCTCACCCCAAACTCCATAGCTTAATAAATTTCACTGTTGGTGCTCACATATTTATAACATTGTTTGAAATTAAACTTTAGTCAGAAACTATGAAAAAATAATTATTTTAGCACCCTTGGGTTAAGCCATCTTTGGGTCAACCATGTGAGCATGAAGCATATACATGATAAACCATGTAAAGAAACTAGAAAAAAATCCAAAGATTTGGGTTTAGTGCTTCTGCATGAATATACTAATTGTAATCCAAAAGCTTGCAATAAAATTGGTGAAAGAACTGAGGAAAATTATCTATTGGGAGGGACGAAGAATTTGTCTTGATCTGGGGAACTAGCCCTGTCCTCCATCCCTTGGATTGAACCTGACTGCCTCCCATTCCCAGGCTTTGCTGCATGACCCCTAAATACGACAATGCTGTAACTGAGATTCAACTTCTACCCAAAATTGACCAAGTACCAGGGAGGGCAGATATGGTGGTGATATACAAAGTACTAAAGGGACTAGACCCTTCAAGTAGGCACCCTGAAGATGAAGTACATACTCGTGATTGTAGGAAATGGAGCTGCACTCCCTTTCCTAAGATCAATCCTGATTGCCTCCCATTCCCCAACCTGTGCATGGCCCCTACAGGTTTAGCACTTGCCCATAATTAATTTGAGACAACTTAAAGGAGGTCCCTCGATGCCACTCAGGAACTCTCTACCCCGAAGAATTGGATCTTACTTAACCTCCAGATATAATGATGCCACCTACAGATATAATGACCTTGCTTCGATATAATGACCTTACCTCCAGATATAATGACCTTCCAGATATATGACCTTACCTCCAGATATAATGACCTTCCAGATATATGACCTTACCTCCAGATATAATGACCTTCCAGATATATGACCTTCCAGACATATGACCTTACCTCCAGATATAATGACCTTCCAGATATATGACCTTACCTCCAGATATTATGAGCTTCCAGATATAATAAGCTTACCTCCAGATCCCCTCAAGGAAGGTTCCTTGATGTTGGTGAGGGGCTCTTGATTTAGGGAATTGGATCTGTGCTCCAGTTTCCCGAATTAAGCCTGAATGCCTTCCACATCCCCCCCCCAGGCGCTGTATAATCCTCCGGGTTTAGCGCTTCCCCCTTGATTATAATAATAATAATTACCTCCAGATATAATGTCCTTCCAGGTATAATGATGTCACCTTTACATATTATGTCAACTGAAAAAAAATATTAATTTTCAATCTAGTGTTATCTAAAAAAAAAAAATATCCATAACAGCCGTTCAAAAAGTTACTACAACAGAAACTTTAAAGTTGACGGAAGCCGTGGTGGAGGTGCACAACCCATTTGGGTTTAAAGCTTGCTGCGTTAATGTGACGATATTGCCCTCAAGGGGGAAGTGTCTTTGAGAAGGGGAGGGCTCTTGATCCAAGGAGTTGGAGAGGGCCTGATTGCCTCTCTTCCCATCAGGCCCTTGAGGTTTAGTGCTTCTGTCTGATTATAATAATCTTCCCATCAGGTATTGGACAACCCCTAAGAGTTTAGCATTATTGTTATTATTATTAATTTAATAAGCACTTCTATTACCTGGAGTTTACCTAGAGAGAGTTCCGGGGGTCAACGCCCCCGCGGCCCGGTCTGTGACCAGGCCTCCTGGTGGATCAGAGCCTGATCAACCAGGCTGTTGCTGCTGGCTGCACGCAACCCAACGTACGAGCCACAGCCCGGCTGATCAGGAACTGACTTTAGGTGCTTGTCCAGTGCCAGCTTGAAGACTGCCAGGGGTCTGTTGGTAATCCCCCTTATGTGTGCTGGGAGGCAGTTGAACAGTCTCGGGCCCCTGACACTTATTGTATTGTACTATTCTATTGTGAAAAAAAAAATTCAAAATGTAACTGCTAACCTCTTTAAGCATGACTTACTTTCACCAGTGGGCCCTGCTCACTTGTGACGATACCTCCAGCTGTTACACCTTGCTTCTCTTCCGGTATATAAGGCCTGTCTTCATGCCTAGAGCTGTATAGCTACCCCTTATTAGGCTGTAGGGACTGTCTACCATCTATCAAGTTGAGGGAATGACCACTATCAACAAGGATGGACTGACCATCATCTGCCAAGACTGAGGGACTGACCACCATCTATCAAGTTTGAGGGAATGACCACTATCAACAAGGATGGACTGACCATCATCTGCCAAGACTGAGGGACTGACCATCAACCATCAAAACTGAGGGACTGAACACCAACCATCAAAACTGAGGGACTGACCACCAACCATCAAGACTGAGGGACTGACCACCATCTATCAAGACTGAGGGACTGACCATCAACCATCAAAACTGAGGGACTGAACACCAACCATCAAAACTGAGGGACTGACCACCAACCATCAAAACTGAGGGACTGACCACCAACCATCAAAACTGAGGGACTGAACACCAACCATCAAAACTGAGGGGCTGACCACCAACCATCAAAACTGAGGGACTGAACACCAACCCTCAAAACTGAGGGACTGACCACCAACCATCAAAACTGAGGGACTTACCACCAACCATCAAGACTGAGGGACTGACCACCAACCATCAAGGCTGAGGGACTGAACACCAACCCTCAAAACTGAGGGACTGACCACCAACCATCAAGACTGAGGGACTGACCACCATCTATTAAGACTGAGGGACTGACCATCAACCATCAAGACTGAGGGACTGACCACCATCTATCAAGACTGAGGGACTGACCATCAACCATCAAAACTGAGGGACTGAACACCAACCATCAAAACTGAGGGACTGACCACCAACCATCAAAACTGAGGGACTGAACACCAACCATCAAAACTGAGGGGCTGACCACCAACCATCAAAACTGAGGGACTGACCACCAACCATCAAAACTGAGGGACTGAACACCAACCATCAAAACTGAGGGACTGAACACCAACCCTCAAAACTGAGGGACTGACCACCAACCATCAAAACTGAGGGACTGACTACCAACCATCAAAACTGAGGGACTGACCACCATCTATTAAGACTGAGGGACTGACCACCAACCATCAAAACTGAGGGACTGAACACCAACCATCAAAACTGAGGGACTGACCACCAACCTCAAAACTGAGGGACTGACCACAACCATCAAAACTGAGGGACTGACCACCATCATTAAACTGAGGGACTGAACACCAACCCTCAAAACTGAGGGACTGACCACCAACCATCAAGACTGAGGGACTGACCACCATCTATTAAGACTGAGGGACTGACCACCAACCATCAAGGCTGAGGGACTGAACACCAACCCTCAAAACTGAGGGACTGACCACTAACCATCAAGACTGAGGGACTGACCACCATCTATTAAGACTGAGGGACTGACCACCAACCATCAAGGCTGAGGGACTGACCACCAACCATCAAAACTGAGGGACTGACCACCAACCATCAAAACTGAGGGACTGACCACCAACCATCAAGACTGAGGGACTGACCACCATCTATTAAGACTGAGGGACTGACCACCATCTATTAAGACTGAGGGACTGACCACCAACCATCAAGGCTGAGGGACTGACCACCAACCATCAAAACTGAGGGACTGACCACCAACCATCAAAACTGAGGGACTGACCACCAACCATCAAGACTGAGGGACTGACCACCATCTATTAAGACTGAGGGACTGACCAACCATCAAGGTAGGACTGAACAACTATCAATCTGAGGGACTGCACCATTAAGACAGAGGGACACATTTTAGGGCTGAGACTGACCAACCTCACAGGCTGAGGTTGACCACTCGATCAGGATGAGGATGAACAACCTAATATTCTGTAAAGGGTTTGGGGTCGACTACATGTAATACAAGAGGGAATGTTGGCTTTCACTGCTCAGTCGCTACAGCTGTTCCACTCGTCAGGATTGATGCTCGGGAGTCACTCTGACTTCCTTATTCCCCTCACTGCGTCACTCCTGACGTTCCTTATTCCACCTCACTGCGTCACTCCTGGCGTTCCTTATTCCACCTCAGTGCGTCACTCCTGACGGTCCTTATTCCACTTCACTGCGTCACTCCTGACGTTCCTTATTCCACCTCACTGCGTCACTCCTGACGTTCCTTATTCCACCTCAGTGCGTCACTCCTGACGTTCCTTATTCCACCTCACTGCGTCACTCCTGACGTTCCTTATTCCACCTCAGTGCGTCACTCTGACGTCTTATTCACTCTGCGTATCTGCGTTCCTTATTCCACCTCACTGCGTCACTCCTGACGTTCCTTATTCCACCTCAGTGCGTCACTCCTGGCGTTCCTTATTCCACCTCAGTGCGTCACTCCTGGCGTTCCTTATTCCACCTCACTGCTCATCCTGCGTTCCCTTTTTCCACCCTGCGTCACTCCTGACTCTTATTCACTCAGTGCGTCATCGGGTTCTTGTCCTCGTGCCTCACGGCTAAGGGACTGACTACCTTCAGTCAAGGTTGTTGAGAGACTGACTACCTTCAGTCAAGGTTATTGAGGGACTGACTACCTTCAGTCAAGGTTGTTGAGGGACTGACCACCTTCAATCAAGGTTATTGAGGGACTGACTACCTTCAGTCAAGGTTATTGAGGGACTGACTACCTTCAGTCAAGGTTGTTGAGGGACTGATTACCTTCAGTCAAGGTTATTGAGGGACTGACTACCTTCAGTCAAGGTTGTTGAGGGACTGACCACCTTCAATCAAGGTTGTTGAGGGACTGACCACCTTCAATCAAGGTTGTTGAGGGACTGACTACCTTCAATCAAGGTTGCTGAGGGACTGACTACCTTCAATCAAGGTTGTTGAGGGACTGACCACCTTCAATCAAGGTTGTTGAGGGACTGACCACCTTCAGTCAAGGTTGTTGAGGGACTGACTACCTTCAATCAAGGTTGTTGAGGAACTGACTACCTTCAGCCAAGGTTGTTGAGGGACTGACCACCTTCAATCAAGGTTGAGGGACTGAATACCTTCAATCAAGGTTGTTGAGGGACTGACTACCTTCAATCAAGGTTGTTGAGGAACTGACTACCTTCAATCAAGGTTGTTGAGGGACTGACCACCTTCAATCAAGGTTGAGGGACTGACTACCTTCAATCAAGGTTGTTGAGGGACTGATTATAATAATAATCTTCCCATCAGGTATTGGACAACCCCTAAGAGTTTAGCATTATTGTTATTATTATTAATTTAATAAGCACTTCTATATATTGTACTGTCCTATTGTGAAAAAAATTAATTTAAAAATGTAACTGCTAACCTCTTTAAGCATGACTTACTTTCACCAGTGGGCCCTGCTCACTTGTGACGATACCTCCAGCTGTTACATCTTGCTTCTCTTCAGGTATATAAGGCCTGTCTTCATGCCTAGACTTTATAAGGGACTAACCACCATATATTAAGGCATTTCGGGCAGACTTAGATTAATTCTGAACATTAAATCCTTGCAGATTATGGTATTAAGACTAAGTGACTACATCATAATTTGTGAGTTTAGCAATGTGAATGTTTTTGTTTTAGCACAATACAAAGTGTCTATATTGGAGTATCATAGGCAAACTTATGACTAGTTAGGATTCATTATTTTAAGATTAAGATTAGTATTTCTGTGTTTATAGTCAGTGGGTGAGTGAGTGTAATTGTGAACCACCAGGTGGTTATCATATAGTTAGTTGTCGGGGTGTATCAGGGAGATAAGATGTTTTCTAACTGTGGTTTTGAAAGTGATGAATGTGTCTGCAGTTCTAGAGTTTTCAGGTAGGGTGTTCCAGATTTTAGGTCCTTTGAAATACATTGAATTTTTGTAAAGGTTTAGTCGGATACGGGGAATGTCATAGAGATGTTTGTGTCTGGTGTTATGCCTGTGGATCCTGTCACAACTATCAAGAAAGCGTTTTAGGTCAAGGTTAATATTGGAATTTAAGGTCCTGTAGATGTAGATTGCACAGTAGTAAGTGTGGATGTTCTGAACAGTTTAGATCTATGAAGAGTGGGGGGGGGGGGGTGTTGCCAGGTTGTTGAGGGACTGACTACCTTCAGTCAAGGTTGGTAAGGGATTGACTACCTTCAGTCAAGGTTATTGAGGGAATGACTACCTTCAATCAAGGTTGTTGAGGGATTGACTACCTTCAATCAAGGTTGTTGAGGGATTGACCACCTTCAATCAAGGTTGTTGAGGAACTGACTACCTTCAATCAAGGTTGAGGGACTGACTACCTTCAATCAAGGTTATTGAGGGACTGACTACCTTCAATCAAGGTTGAGGGACTACCTTCAATCAAGGTTGTTGAGGGACTGACTACCTGCAGTCAAGGTTGAGGGACTGACTACCTTCAATCAAGGTTGTTGAGGGACTACCTTCAATCAAGGTTGTTGAGGGACTGACCACCTTCAATCAAGGTTGAGGTACTGACCACCTTCAATCAAGGTTGAGGGACTGACCACCTATTACGGTTATCTCTCCACTTCTTCCACTCTCCTGAAGAAGGCTGTTACGCAGGCGAAACGTTCCAGTAATAAAGATACCCGTTGCTGCCTCCATTCTGTAATAAGACTAGTCCCAGAGCTACGGGGATTGTCCTACGAAGAAAGGTTGAGGGAAATCGGCCTGACGACACTGGAGGACAGGAGGGTCAGGGGAGACATGATAACGACATATAAAATACTGCGCGGAATAGACAGGGTGGACAAAGACGGGATGTTCCAGAGAAGGGACACAGACACAAGAGGTCTGATAAAGGTATGATAAAACTCATGGGGCAGGGAGAGAGAGGACCTAGTAGCAATCAGCGAAGAGGCGGGGCCAGGAGTTATGCCTCGACCCCTGCAACCACAAATAGGTGAGTACAAATAGGTGAGTACGGTGACGAAAACTGTGCAGCATAATCTAGATGAGGCCTAACTAAGGATATATAGAGTTGAAGAACAACCTGAGGACTCCTATTATTTATGCTTCTCGATATTAAGCCAAGGATTCTGTTCGCTTATGCACTGTGTTTGTGTGTGTGTGTGTGTGTGTGTGTGTGTGTGTGTGTGTGTGTGTGTGTGTGTGTGTGTGTGTGTGTGTGTGTGTGTGTGTGTGTGTGTGTGTGTGTGTTTGTGTGTGTGTGTGTGTGTGTTTGTAGTGTGTGTGTGTGTGTGTGTGTGTGTGTGTTGTGACTCAACAATCAATATTTGCACCAATAACTTATTACAGTTGTGACCGGGTGTGTAAGTGTGAATTGCTCATTACTCTATAATTTGTTCATGATTGTAGCCATGTATAAACGTAAGTAACCATTCTTACAGTATTCATTACCTTTGTAACTTGTGAGCTCATTACCTTTGTACCTAGTTCAGCTATCAAAACTTTGGGGGCCCAGTCCCTGGACCCATTACGTACCTCTGTAATCTGTAAATACCTTTGTAACTTGTCATGGTTGTGACCAGACCTACCTGGAGTTCATTACCTTTGTAAATTGTGAGTTCATTACCTTTGTAAATTGTGAGTTCATTACCTTTGTAATTGTGAGTTCATTAGTTCTGTAACTTGCTCAGCTATCAAAACTTTGGAGTCCAGTCCCTGGACTAATTATGTACCTCTGTAATCTTTTGACTACCGCCCACAGGATGGGTATCTGGTGCATAATAAACATATTAAACTAACTGCCTGTGTATCTTAGCCGTCACTCCGTCTGATTTTTGGGAGGTTATCCTAGGTATCTGATACATATGTTACTATGTATGATAATTTATGTAACTGTTTATGTATACCTGTATCTGAGTCCCTGGACCCATTATGTACCTCCACCTTTAACTACTGCCCACAGGACGGGTATGGGGTGCATAATAAAGATGTTAACTAAACCCATCAGTAAAATAGGTACCTGGGTGTTAGTTGACTGGTGAGGGTCGCACCCTGGGACAAAATTGACCTAATTACCCGAAATGCTCAGCATAACAAGAGGCTTTCTACATGACTCAAGAAATCGTAATGACACGATTGCAAATAAACCATATGACTCTATGACCGCGGGTTCAATCCCGGCCGGGGGTATGGTTTAAGAGGCTTTCTATATAACAGTATATGACTGCTGTCAGCTATGGTCTGTATAAGTTGTATCATGTACTTGTAGTAAAGATATATAATTAACGTTCCACCTGGGAGCCTCCTACCCCCTTCCTGCTATCTTCCCGTCCAGCAGTAAGGGACGGGAAGCTGGCCTACACGCGTGTCTAGCCTTCACTCACCAGCTGAGGCAGCTGAGGCACACACGTACATCTGTCTTCTCAGGGCACCACCCACCAGGTGACTAACATCGACCCTCAGGGACACCATTCCTGTGCTCTGTAAACCTAGACACTCGTTTAGTATCATTATTAATAAAAAAAAGTCAAGTTTATATACAAAAAAGTGATGGTTTGTGTGGATGGTGGTCGATGACGTAAGATATGATATAAATTGTTTTCGTACAGACAAGCAAAGATTTGGTTATGTGTGAAACTTGGTATTTTGCAGTTTTATAATATTTGTAGTCAGAAATGTGTGAATATAACGATAAGCGCTGACTGAGATGGCCAGTTATCATCATCACTGTGAGGATGTGTTATCACTGATGAGGCTGCCAGAGGCACGAAGGTGTGGTGTCATCACTAGTGTACATGCCAGAGGCACGAAGGTGTGGTGTCATCACTAGTGTACATGCCAGAGGCACGAAGGTGTGGTGTCATCACTAGTGTACATGCCAGAGGCACGAAGGTGTGGTGTCATCACTAGTGTACATGCCAGGGGCACGAAGGGTGTGGTGTCATCACTAGTGTACATGCCAGAGGCACGAAGGTGTGGTGTCATCACTAGTGTACATGCCAGAGGCACGAAGGTGTGGTGTCATCACTAGTGTACATGCCAGAAGCACGAAGGTGTGGTGTCATCACTAGTGTACATGCCAGAGGCACGAAGGTGTGGTGTCATCACTAGTGTACATGCCAGAGCACGAAGGTGTGGTGTCATCACTAGTGTACATGCCAGAGGCACGAAGGTGTGGTGTCATCACTAGTGTACATGCCAGAGGCACGAAGGTGTGGTGTCATCACTAGTGTACATGCCAGGGGCACGAAGGTGTGGTGTCATCACTAGTGTACATGCCAGAGGCACGAAGGTGTGGTGTCATCACTAGTGGTACATGCCAGAGGCACGAAGGTGTGGTGTCATCACTAGTGTACATGCCAGAGGCACGAAGGTGTGGTGTCATCACTAGTGTACATGCCAGAGGCACGAAGGTGTGGTGTCATCACTAGTGTACATGCCAGACGCACGAAGGTGTAGTGTCATCACTAGTGTACATGCCAGGGGCAAGTGCGGTGTCATCACTAGTGTACATGCTAGGGGCAAGTGTGGCGTCATCACTAGTTTACATGCCAGGGGCAAGTGAGTGTGATGTCATCACTAGTGAACATGCCAGGGGCAAGTGAGTGTGATGTCATCACTAATGAACATGCCAGGGGCAAGAGAATGTGTTGTCATCATTAGTGAACATACCAGAGCAAGTGGGTGTGATGTCATCCCTAGTGAACACACCAGGGACTCCAGGATGTGATGTCATCCCTAGTGAACACACCAGGGACTCCAGGATGTGATGTCATCCCTAGTGAACACACCAGGGACTCCAGAGTGTGGTGTCATCCCTAGTGAACACACCAGGGACTCCAGGGTGTGGTGTTATCCCTAGTAAACAAACCAGGGACTCCAGGGTGTGGTATCATCCCTAGTGAATACACTCGAGGACATGATCGAGCCAAATGTTACGTTACTGAGATAACATAAATGTCAGTGGTTGTCGCAGCTATTAAGAGTGACACACGCTGGTGTTGATGTCTCACACTAACAGTGACATACACGCTGGTGTTGATGTCTCACACTAACAGTGACATACACGCTGGTGTTGATGTCTCACACTAACAGTGACATACACGCTGGTGTTGATGTCTCACACTAACAGTGACATACACTGGTGTTGATGTCTCACACTAACAGTGACATACAGGGCTGGTGTTGATGCCTCACACAAACCCGTGATATACCGTGGTGTTGATGTCTCACACTAACAGTGACATACACGCTGGTGTTGATGTCTCACACTAACAGATGACATACACGCTGGTGTTGATGCCCTCACACTAACAGTGACATACACGCTGGTGTTGATGCCTCCACTAAACGGGTATTACACGATGGTGTTGATGTCTCACACTAACAGTGACATACACGCTGGTTTTGTGTCTCACACTAACAGTGACATACACGCTGGTGTTGATGTCTCACACTAACAGTGACATACACGCTAGTGTTGATGTCTCACACAAACCCAGTGACATACACGCTAGTGTTGATGTCTCACACTAACAGTGATATACACGCTGGTGTTGATGTCTCACACTAACAGTGACATACACGCTGGTGTTGATGTCTCACACTAACAGTGACATACACGCTGGTGTTGATGTCTCACACTAACAGTGACATACACGCTAGTGTTGATGTCTCACACTAACAGTGAATACACGCTAGTGTTGATGTCTCAAAACTAACAGTGACATACACGCTGGTGTTGATGTCTACACAACAGTGAACATACACGTGGTGTTGATGTCTCACACTAACAGTGACATACACGCTGTGTTGATGTCTCACACTAACAGTGACATACACGCTGGTGTTGATGTCTCACACTAACAGTGACATACACGCTGGTGTTGATGTCTCACACTAACAGTGACATACACGCTGGTGTTGATGTCTCACACTAACAGTGACATACACGCTGGTGTTGATGTCTCACACTAACAGTGACATACACACTGGTGTTGATGCCTCACACTAACAGTGACATACACACTGGTGTTGATGTCTCACACTAACAGTGACACACACACTGGTGTTGATGTCTCACACTAACAGTGACATACACACTGGTGCTGATGTCTCACACTAACAGTGACATACACGCTGGTGTTGATGTCTCACACTAACAGTGACATACACGCTGGTATTGATGTCTCACACTAACAGTGACATACACGCTAGTGTTGATGTCTCACACTAACAGTGACATACACGCTGGTGTTGATGTCTCACACTACAGTGAAAATACACGCGGGTGTTGATGTCTCACACTAACAGTGACATACACGCTGGTATTGATGTCTCACACTAACAGTGCCATACACGCTGGTGTTGATGTCTCAGACTAACAGTGACATACACGCAGGTGTTGATGTCTCACACTAACAGTGATATACACGCTGGTGTTGATGTCTCACACTAACAGTGACATACACGCCCATGATGACACTCTTCAGGTCACTTGTTCTATCTAGGCTGGAATATTGCTGCACTCTAACAGCACCTTTCAAGGCAGGTGAAATTGCCGACCTAGAAAATGTACAGAGAACTTTCACGGCGCGCATAACGGAGATAAAACACCTCAATTACTGGGAGCGCTTGAGGTTTCTAAACCTGTATTCCCTGGAACGCAGGAGGGAGAGATACATGATTATATACACCGGGAAAATCCTAGAGGGACTAGTACCAAACTTGCACACGAAAATCACTCACTACGAAAGCAAAAGACTTGGCAAAACGATGCACCATCCCCCCAATGAAAAGCAGGGGTGTCACTAGCACGTTAAGGGGACCATACAATAAGTGTCAGGGGCCCGAGACTGTTCAACTGCCTCCCAGCACACATAAGGGGGATTACCAACAGACCCCTGGCAGTCTTCAAGCTGGCACTGGACAAGCACCTAAAGTCAGTTCCTGATCAGCCGGGCTGTGGCTCGTACGTTGGTTTGCGTGCAGCCAGCAGCAACAGCCTGGTTGATCAGGCGCTGATCCACCAGGAGGCCTGGTCACAGACCGGGCCGCGGGGGCGTTGACCCCCGAAACTCTCTCCAGGTAAACTCCAGGTACACGCTGGTGTTGATATCTCAAACTAAGTGACATACACGCTGGTGTTGATGTCTCACACTAACAGTGACATACACGCTGGTGTTGATGTCTCACACTAACAGTGACATACACGCTGGTGTTGATGTCTCAAACTAACAGTGATATACACGCTGGTGTTGATGTCTCACACTAACAGTGACATACACGCTGGTGTTGATGTCTCACACTAACAGTGACAAAACACGCTGGGGTTGATGTCTCACACTAACAGTGACATACACGCTGGTGTTGATGCTCAAAAATAACATGATATACACGTGGTGTTGATGTCTAACACTAACAGTGACATACACGCTAGTGTTTGATGTCTCACACTAACAGTGACATACACGCTGGTGTTGATGTCTCACACTAACAGTGATATACACGCTGGTGTTGATGTCTCACACTAACAGTGACATACACGCTGGTATTGATGTCTCACACTAACAGTGCCATACACGCTGGTGTTGATGTCTCAGACTAACAGTGACATACACGCAGGTGTTGATGTCTCACACTAACAGTGATATACACGCTGGTGTTGATGTCTCACACTAACAGTGACATACACGCTGGTGTTGATGTCTCAAACTAACAGTGACATACACGCTGGTGTTGATGTCTCACACTAACAGTGATATACACGCTGGTGTTGATGTCTCACAGTAACAGTGACATACACGCTGGTGTTGATGTTTCAAACTAACAGTGACATACACGCTGGTGTTGATGTCTCACACTAAAATGATATACACGCTGGTGTTGATTTTCTCCCCACTAAAAGTGATATACACGCTGGTGTTTGATGTCTCACACTAACAGTGATATACACGCTGGGGTTGATGTCTCACACTTTAAAAGTGACATACAAGCTGGTGTTTGATGTCTTCACACTAACGTGATATACCGCTGGTGTTGAGTCTCACACTAACAGTGACATACACGCTGATGTTGATGCCTCACACTAACAGTGACATACACGCTGGTGTTGATGTCTCACACTAACAGTGACATACACGCTAGTGTTGATGTCTCACACTAACAGTGACTACACACTGGTTTTTGATGTCTCACCCTAACAGTGACATACACGCTGGTTTTTGATGTCTCACACTAACAGTGACATACACGCTGGTGTTGATGTCTCAGACTAACAGTGACATACACGCAGGTGTTGATGTCTCACACTAACAGTGATATACACGCTGGTGTTGAAAGTCTCACACTACAGTGACATACACACTGGTGTTGATGTCTCACACTAACAGTGACATACACACTGGTGTTGATGTCTCACACTAACAGTGACATACACGCTG